TTCGAGAATTCAATGGAAAACAATATCCAGATCTGTTAAGTAATATTTATTCGCAAGATGCTTTTGGAGTTTATTTTGCTAAACAATCAGTGGAAATCAAGGAAAATCTGCAAAAACTTCGAAATCAAATCGAAAAAGATAAAGAATATAAAGAAGAAGAAGTAAATAAAGCCAAAAAAGAATGTGAACAACTCATGAAAAAAGCCAATGATCTTACATGTCAATGTAAATTGAATCAGTTGTCTGTTCTTCAGAAATGCGATCGATGCAATACTATAAAGGAAGCGGAGAATATAACAGTCAGCATTTATGAATGTCCATTACCAGCAGACGAAAGTAAAGCTTTAGCTGTTATGTTCGAATTACAAATGCCAATTGAAATCCGATGTTATCGAGACATCCTTTGGCAATTCATCAATCGTCCTAAACCCAATCCGTCGCATCAAATGCACGAATGGTTAAGTAGACGTCCCCATAGTACAAAACTTCAACCGTTCTACAAAGGCCCAAAGCATTCCAAAGTGAAATTAGTATCTACCGTTAAGTCGATATCAGAAAGTCGTTATTCAGGTGCACGAAAGGTCATAAATACACCATTGGAAGGATACTTTTATGAGAGTGCTCTATCGGTTGAAATCTCTCCAACTAAAACAATCGAATTTTCAGAAGAATGTCGAATTTTAACTCCCGAACTAACAGATCCAAATTACAAAGATTTACAATTCTCTATTGATAATACAAAATTCGTTCAAAATTGTGTTATAGCTGAACTGTCAAAGTGTTCACAAGAATTATCAGTAGCAGAATTTGTTGAGTTTGGTTCATTTCGTTCTGGTCATCGTTTACAATGGTGGAATCTTTTAAGTATTCTTGAATCAGATTCTCTATCGATGGATGAAGAAAGTGTTGCAATACTCATTACACATGCACTTTTGCAATATGGTCCAGTAACAGACGACCCAACTTCCCCTCTCAATCGATGGTGTCCAGAATCACATCAACAATTATTAGAAGATCATTTTCTAGATGAATTAATGACAAGAATAGAACGTCATTTGAAAGATTGTGAATGTAATTGGCAAAAAGAATTGATCTTAATAACTATAACAATAATCGTCATGAGAATGTTTAGTCTTTGTAATTCAACAAGAAAAAAGCAAATGACTAATTTAGTTTTTAAATGCCGTCAACTTGGTGAAAAATGGATTCAAGCTATTTCGAAACATATTCAAAATCCATCTTCACTGGATTCTGATAATACGAATACATTGCGCGATAAAATTTTTATAATTGGTATTGCATGTTTACAAACATTTTCAATCTATGCTGATACCAGCAATTCATTAAAATTATCAAATCAAGATGTTATTTTCTTATTGAATATATCGATAACTGTTCATGATAATATGATTTTAACCAAGAAAAGTACAAATATGAGTGTATTTATGAGAAATTTGATGCGTTCTAAAGAACGTATTTTAGTAACAATACAACCACTTGTAAGCGAACTTCTTGAAAAAACTTCCTATGAAAGTTTAAATGAATTCTGCTCTCTATATTGGGTAATTCTACGAAGTAAGGACAATATGAAGGGATTATGGAAGAAAAGAAGTAAAGATAAATATGATGGTTGGTATGATGGTGTATATGAATCCAATAAAATATCGATTGACTGTGTACGAGGAAGGTTTTTTGTTAATGAACTAAGTATTGGTTTTTTACCGGATAAAATAACTTCAGATAATTTATTCGCTCGTGTATTTGGTCAGCATATTTTTGAAGTACAACCATCCGAATCAGAAAAAATCTACATCACAAAATATGGATACCATGCTAATGGAAAAACTCATTATGAGTTCACTTTTAATGATGGAAATAATCTTGACGGGTATTTGATAGTCTATGAACGACACATGGAAACAAATGATAAATTCGAATTAATACCTCCAAGTTGTTTTGAAACAGAACTACCTGATATTTTAGTTTCAAATTACAGTCATTGGTGGAATGAAAAGAATCAAATTGTTGAGTTTCGGTCTATACATTTCCTGGATCCTAACTTTTTAACTGACAAACATTATATATTAGAACTGAAAAATGGATTTATTAGAACGTGCAACACTAAAAATAGACAAAATCTGATTAATCCATCATCACAATTCTTTCAGAACTTGTTTGCAATGTATTTCAAACGTCTGGATGAAGAGTCATATGTGTACATGTTAAGAGAGGGTATTACGATATTTCATATTCATCTATCTCGATTAGGCATTGCTTTCAAATATGACGCTCAAAACAAGATCATAACGTCTCGTGAGTATTCCGATATGCATATCGATGAAAATCAATTGTTTGGAACATTGACTGGTTTGGAATCTGGTCTTCTTCTTTCATCAATAGCAAAACTAAATCAAGAAAATAAGCATTATCTTTGTCGAAAATTGATTGTCCCTTTCGGGCAACTTCAATCAAAGAAGAACTCTGACAACGATCATCAAATTGTAACTATAGAGCGAAAATCATTAGAAACATCATTTATTCATGAATATTTTGTTTTTACATTAAATGATCGTTTACGTATTCTTCAACCGACTGATAGTCCAACAGGATGTCTCTATTTAGCATTGTTACATGCACTAACATCTCATCCATTGCCCGATCAATACACAGGAATGACTGGAATGGAACGCTCATTTCAATTATTGTATTCGACTGGTTGTTGGTCTGATCAACCGTTCGATTCAATTACAAGAAATATTCTTCTTCA